TAAGCGAATGCTGTCAGTATTGAAGACATAGTTTCATTTTGAAATGAGAAAATTGAAAACTCGGTTGTTCTTCCGTGGTAAGGAGTTCGATTGTTCGCTTCGTCCATGTTTTGAATTAGGTGTGCAGTTGCTCAACCCTTAGCCAATAGAAAAGTTGCCAAGAAAGTTTATAAGTTGGTGAAGAAAGCTTCCGGTGAAACTCATCATTTACGTCAAGGATTGAGAGATGTACAGAAGGCTATTAGAAAGAATGAGAAAGGAATCCTTACTTTGGCTGGTAAGTACACACTCTTTCTTCGACTGAACTCCTTTCTTCTTCAGGTTATGTAGTGCTATGGTTTTTGGTGAAGGAATTCTATTTTCTGCGGGTAATAGCTTTAACAGTCATCATGAACCCTTGTCATCCAATAGATGAACAGAACATCGAGCAAGGCAATCAAAAATGGTTCGAGGCGTATGAGAGCAGTGAGTCATTTTTACATATTATTACTAAAAGTGATCACAAAATGATTCCAAAAGTCTTATCTTGCATGACTAATGGAAGAACTGATAATTTTTACAAAAATACTTTGAAGTTTCATCGATATCCTCTATAATTTCTTTGCCCGTAGTTGCCTAAAACATTTTGAAACAGTTTGCTCTGTTGTTTCTCCATCTTCTCCATTTCGATCATTCGGAACACCTTCGATTGATTTCATTTAATCAGCTAATTACTCATAGAATAGTTTTTTTTGAACACTAATCAATCAATATGTAATAATAGGTTAAGAAAGCTTGCGATGAAAAAGGAATCTTTATTATATGTTATCTTAAGGGGTTTACACTCTGATACTCACAATATTCGCAAAATAACTAAAAATATTGTAATACAAGTCCTAATATTGCACGTAACCAATGGCACCTGGGGTCATTTACGTTTTCTCTAGTCCTTCGGGCGAGAAAGAGTTATCTACTATGACATCCTGGTTTTCTCTCATGTGATCGAGCACAGTCAAAGTGATAATGAAAGTATAGTCATATTTTACATTTTGTGCAATTGTGGTGGGCGTGGATGACACATACTGTTACGTTTTACATCAAATACTTTCTTAAAACGTTCACGTTTTGGCTGGTAAGTACATACTCTTCCTTTGACTGAAATCCTTTCTTCTTCAGGTTATGTACTGCAGTGGTTTGTTTTACAAAGAAAATGGTGTGCAGAACGCTTGGAGATGTGATGAGAATGAAGTGAGTAATCGTTGGATTTTTTATCTTTAGAAACATTATCAAAGATAAGATGAATTCATTTTGCCTATTGTCTGTCTACTGAAATGACGTTGAAATCCAATTGCTGTTAGTAGTTGCTTGAACGTGTAGTTTATGATAGTTGACGGAAACAAGCTGATATATCGTTTGTTCTGTTGTTTCTCCATCTTCAGCCCATCTGATTATTCAGAACTTGATCCCAATCAGAATTACTCATCAAATCAATCAATATATTCTAATTTTATTGAAAATTCCAAATTAAAGCTGGAAATTTTTTTTTTTTATAATTATTTATTCGTTAAGGGTTAATAATGGTTGGAAGTGAGCTCAGCAAAGCTGAGTGGAAAGAAAAAGCTGAGAAGCAACTCAATATAATGTATCACATTTACAAAGGTGAAATGTTTCATGGATACCGTCATGACGAAGACAGAGCTGCCTTGGTTTCGAGAATTGGTTCTACAGGATGTGGTGAAGAGATTGTTCAGATGATCTATAAGGTAAGGTGTTTTGATGTACTCGCTTTTCACACACTTATTGCAGACTATGCTACGACTATGTAAAATCCCTCCTGGAAACTACAGATTGTATGTTTCAGTTCTTTTCGTACAGTGTTATGAAAATGACGAAATGTTCTCTCAACCGGTGTATGTCGTGAAAGGTGAAGGAGTTACTGTCAACTTCATTGACACCATGGCTAGAAGGTACAAGTCATGGACGGATTTCAAGGATAATAACAGATGGAATGCAATGGATATAGGTACACCATTCAACGGATACTATAGCTGTTCGCCTGACGGGATCACATATGACAAAGAAGCGAATGCACTAGTGGAATTCACTGTCACACCAGCGAAAAAAGGCTTGCATAAACTGATTGGCATTCTTGATGGTACTTCAACTGTTATTGCAATAGGTTTGCGAAGAAATATATCTCTTTATCGTTCTTCTTCAGTGTCTGGTGTCGTAGGCATAGCCTCGCTTTTCACGCCAGTTGGGTGGGTGTGTGTTGGCACAATAGCGTCGTATACTTCTGTAGCTGCAATGGGAGCAGCAGGTTATGGCTTAGTGAGGTGTGTATCTCTCCAATGATTATTTCTTATAATTTGTTATAGATCTACTTATCAGATAGTAGACAAAGCTAAGCATGATGAAGACATGCTCAGCTTAGATTCTTTCGTGCTTTATGGAAGTCTAGCTCTTACTGTAATGGATTTGACATTCTCGTTCGGCACACTCAAGGTTGCTCCGAAGGGTGTTCGTGAATTCCTAACGAGAACGTTAGTGAAGAAGATGAAAATTGGTGTTGACGCTGCAGTGTGTGCAGCAATGGCTGTAGTCAAACAGTGGAAATCGTTTTATCAAAAAAGAAAAATAGATTGAAATCCTTGGATGTTGCATTGCTCGATGAGAGTTTTGTGTTTACAAATAATCTCTCTGAAACTTTTTCTTTAAAAGTTTATAGTCTTTAAACACAGACTAGTAGATTATCCAGGATATGAGTAGAAGGAATGATCCTAGTGCTTACTCAGCAATAACCATAGTATACGTGACAGTAGACTATAGACCATTCAAACAGATCAAGAAAAACAATCTTAAAACACATTTGATGATGAACAATACATCTTCATCATAGATTATTTGAATTCATGTTCCCCATTTCGTCATTAAGCCCAATTCAAACCCATGTTCACTTACTGCGAAGTCTAATAAATATATTTTAGAACATTAAAGCAATAATTTTCTTTTAAAATCGACTTAATGAGATTGTCTTTCTCTTGATGTTTATGAGTGTTGGCTTTAGAAGTGGAGACCTGAGATGACGGGTCAGGAGCGTTTGTTAAATGGTAACTCGCTACGGGGAAATATAATTGATATGTCGACTGTTTGAACAATTGAAGAGTTTACTTGAATGAATACGACCATACCACGTTGAAAATACGCCATCCCGTCCGATCTGGCAAGTCAAGCAACGTCGGGCCTGGTTAGTACTTGGATCGGAGACGGCTTGGGAATCCTAGGTGTCGTACACTTTTCATTTTTATTTAATTATTACTGATATACGTGATCTCTCGTAGGTTACTGTAGCTGCACAAAGCTTTTCCATGACTCCTCCGATGTTTTCGAATTTCACTTGTTCATGTTGTTTCTTATTTTAATATTCTTGAAGTGCTGTTCGTTTTCGTTTGCTGTAATCATCATTCTTGCCAGTATCCGAGCCCTCAAAGTAGTTGACCGTTCTTTCCATTTTCCTTTCCTCGACTGTTT